TCTCTTTGTGTTCTACTTGAGATATTAATTATTTGTCATCTCTCCACTTGTAAATACTAGATCACGTACATTTATAAATATTAATATAATTAATTAATAACCAATTAGTTTCTAATCTCTCCATTTATAAATATTAGTTCACACTTCACATACATTTAGACACATACATTTGTAATGTTACATTAGCACCTGTGAATATTACATGTACAGGTAGAAGAAAGTCCTGTGTATTTATCATTTAAAGTTACAAGATGTAAAATAATAAAACCAAAGGTCATAATGGCAGAACAGTATCGTAGAAATTAAAAATCAAGAGCAATATTAAATTGAGCAGCATATTAATTTCAAGAGTTTCGCGCTGCATTTTCTCTTTTCCAATACTTTCAATTAACTTGAAAGTTAAAGCAAGCATACATGTAAGTATACATGTACATGTATTTCAATGACTGCAGTCATGCACAAGTGCAAACAGGGTACATTGTATTGCAAGCTTTACCAAAATGAGATCATACAGTTTTTGTAATGCACATTGTACTGTAGTTACAAGTAGTTATATTTTCTAAGACAAACAGAAAAATTATTTGATTGAAGGAACGTTTAGTGGCAGACTGCACGCCACTAAGCTCCATTCACTGAGTCATGAGCAAGCTACAAGTGCATGTTTGTCAGCAGCAGTGCAGACACACTTTGACAACATTTGAGCATTAAAATGTATGTCATTTATCAGTTTTGTGCAGCACAGATTAGTAATTCAACTAATCTCTTTTATGATTCCACACTGAGAGAGGTTGCACCTGTTAAGTAAAAGTTAAACTATTTGGGTTTGTTTAAATAACTATGGTAAGGGAAATTTTGCGCAACAGTAAAGCATTATAAACTTGTAAGAGAAATTACAACAGCCATAAAAGTTAGGTTTATCCGCCTGAACATAAAGCTATATTTCCATAATGAGACTCTTAAAACCACAGATTAAACTAACATTGAACCCTATGTACTCATCTACAAGCAGATCATTTAGGACAAAATAACTTCAACACCTGCATATATTTGTAAAAAACTAAAAAATGCATAAATCTAATCAGAAAAATTGGATACATAATAACTTGCTGCTCTATTTAAATAATCACATCATACATGTAAGCCATTTGACCTCATATTTACACTTGCAAAATTTAATGCTGAAAACAAAAATCTGTTGATCAATTTGCGTGATCACCCGTTCGCAGTAAGTAGGATAACAATTAGGACAATGATGAGCATGACATGTACATCCCCAAAAATGAATGCCATCATGCTGTAATTTGAAATATAGGTAATTCAGAATTTTTGCAGTGTAAACTTTAAATTCAGGATTTAACTAAAGAATCAAGTAGTTAATCATTACTATCTTATAATCTAGTCAATGCAAAGCGGTTAAGCTACAGTCTTACTAATTGCTACACCATGTCCAAGGACAAAAAATACTATGATATTCTTCTTCTTCTTCTTCCTTTTGAGTACAGACCTCTTTAAGAGTAAAATCTTGAAGATACATCTCAGACTGTGAAAAAAGAAGCTTTTATTCATGCAATAGTAACCCTAATCCTGGTATTTTCAAAGAGCCCAAAATATCTGACAAAATCAGCTCAGCAAGACCCATTTCATTTACAATATACTGTAATTCAAGATTCAAGACAACATTTCATGGATTTAACTGAAATTGCTTAAAACCAGCAATTTTAATACTTGTTTTGCATACAATACAGGGCTTACAAAAGGTTGTGTAACGCGACCACCTGAATGATTCTAACTACCGGTAAGCCCTTACAATGTGTCATGTTGCTCAACTTGCTACAGTGTATTTATAACAAAGGGATACACAGAGTCACATACCTGTACCTTCTTTTCCTAGACATGCACACAAATCAAAAATACAAATAACTGTTGGAAATGTATACATGTATGGTGGCATGTACTGTACATATATCATGTACTGTAAACGGAATCTTATTTCATTTGATGCTGTTCAGGGCACTATTAAACGCCTCTAATATGATTGCAAAGATAGATAAAGAAGGTCACTGGTTCTTACATTTGCTTTAAAGTAGACATTGATACAAATAGACATTGCATGTCAGATGAAAGCTCATAAATGATCTTAAGAAAGTGAAATGTGTCATAATTTTTCCCTAAAAATGCAAGACCACAATGAATCAGACACTCAACACGCTAGGCGATCGATAGCAGCCTTATTATCATAAATTTTAATGATTTATTATCCATAAAATGGGTGAAATTAGGCCAGACAGTGAAACTTGGATCTGCAGTATTCATCGTCTGAATCCAGTGACGATGATATTGATGGTATCGATGGGCCCGTTGTCGAATTATTGTAATTTTTTAATTAAAAATACAGTGTATGTGTTTACATATTGACTATGTTTGATCCAGGGGTGCCAGTTAGTACACAAAACAGCCTAAACTATGGTCTGAAAATAACTTGCCAAGGCTATTGTCTGAAAACTGGCATCCCTGTTGATCGCGATTCATGGGTAGATTGCACCGACGTAATGTACCATCGCATATTACGAACAAATGAATGCAAAACTTGAGTTTGCAGCTGACTAAAGCAAATCTCAACAGGATTTCAAACTAATGATAATACAACAAGAAATACACAAATTTTACTACGGGCAAACCTCAATGCTATTCTCATTGCTCAGTCACCTCAGAAGTTTGGTGCATTGTATATGTACATGTCGCATTGCACATATCTGCAGAGTGGATATAGGCTATGGACCCACAAAAGTGAACACAAAGTAAGACTAGACTCGAAGACTTTGACTATGACTTTCGCTTCATTATTATACGGTACTTATATTCAAGTATTATCATCAGTCACATCCACAATCTCGCCCTCTCTTATTCCCTCTTTTCTTCTTGTCAAGTCAAGTGTAAGTGTCACTCACACTTACACTGTACATGTAGCCTGGGGCCCGTTCCTACAAACCGTCATAAGTCTAACTTATTGACTATCCCATTGAAACGCGTGTTAGTTCTATAACACACGTTTCAATGGGATAGTCAAGAAGTTAGACTTATGACGGTTTCTAGGAACGGGGCCCTGGAAGATAGCCTGGAAGATGCCCTAGAAGAGAAAATGCTGTACATCTCTTCTACAGTATGACGCCTACAGTATGTTTCCAACACACCTCTCACACCTTTCACAGATTTCATAACTTGAAAATGCCCTGAAAAAATTATTTTTCCCTGCACCCAGTCTGACTAGGTTATCATCACCTGATATCCAGGACTGGAGATTTTTTTGTCTGCCAGGAAAGAAAAAAATTCTTGTCACAAATTAAATTAAATTGGTTTGAAGTTTGAACATAATCATGTACAATTTCGGTATATCTGAAAAAAGCATGTTACGTATTGTTCTGCCAATTACTAGTAAAAAAAAGTGAGTTAATTGCACAGTGTCGTTGAATGTGGACCTTGCTAGTATTGAGCCAGGCATAGACCTAGCGCTAGCGTATCATTTTACCTTGGTAAAATCAATCTTTGGATATACTTTTACATGCTGGTTTGTTAGAGGGTATCCCCAGATTTCAGTTTTTGAAGAACAAATGACACGCTAGCGCTAGCTGAAAACAAGCCCTGTCCGCATGCAGAGACGTTCTCTGCATCGTTTACACTACAAGTACATGTATATTGTTAAGTTTAGTCTAGTTGTAGTACACAGTTTAGGGTGCTGAATTTAGCAGAATTTAGCAAACTCCCTACAAGCACCTGTTTATACTAATCGCTATTATTGAAAGTATCAAATTGGCAACCTTAAAACGTTCATGTGTTTACCATGTGTCTTCACATTTCCGCTGCAAATAACATCGTGAACTCTCATATTTATATTTCTTGACCGATTTCAAAGTGCTTTTTATGAGAGGAAAGAAGACTCCAATAGCGAACTCTGAAGCCACTATGCAGTGTTGGTCAAGTGCTGGAAGGGGTGATTTCAGACGCATTTTAGGTTTTGTTTACCTGCCTCTTCAAGCAGAGGTATGGGTGCCAGATGAGTCAAGGCTAGATCTAAGAAGTGATATCAATATCATATTTTACATTATCACTTGGCCATAATCAATAAGGCTATTGTACGGGTAGAAGGAAGAGTCGGCTAGCAAATTCCGAAGGTAGTTTGCAAGATTTGTCGGAGCATTTCTCTTCTAAGACCAGAAGGGGCACTAATCCAAGAACGAGGATCGTCCGCACAAACAAGGATATCCTAATAAACGCGGACAAAATGCGTCCATCAAAATAAGGATCGTCCGCATTTTTGCAGCCTTTTTTTTTTCCGCCTTCTGCGGGTTTCAGGTTCTCGCGCTGCAAAACAATGCCATGCAAAACATAGATTCTGCCTAATAAAATACTCCCAGTTCACCGGCTACTTTTATGGGTTGTCTGTCTTCTCAAATATTTATTGCTCATCACGTTTAAGTCTTTGTACAAAGTCTATGTGAACTGCATCAAGAAAATTTTTGCGGAATCTGTTTCTTGCATCGCGAACGCACGGATCGTAAATCAGAACTGTTAGCGAAATGCAGATGATCCTTATTTTTGCAGACGTATCTCTCCACGTTTACGAAGACGATCCTCGTTTATGCGGACGATCCCTACTTCTACTTCTACTTCTACGTCGGTACTTGACATCCATCAGTCAGGATATAACGTCAAGGTTGAAATGTCTGGCAAGGTGCTCTTGTGCAGTGCAGCCCTTCTGAAGAAAAGGCTATGTTCCAGATCTAGATCCAGGCTACTCACACTCACGTCACAGACAATCACGCTCACTTTACATTACCTGTAGACAGCATTCTCTATCAATCATGTCAATATTTCTGCAACTAATATCAGACTCTGACTCTGACTGAGACCGAGATCAAGCTGCTTCTTTTGAATTTATTTTTAGAATGATTACAATTCACATGGGGAAGGTTTGAAATTCATTGATCCCTAAACAGACTTACTCTTTGTCTAACCATTGAGGTAACGATTTCTTTTATGAGTGGAATGGAAGGATCACCTCCCTCTGGGGGAATCTGAAAATTCTCTCGCACAAATCCTATCTGCACGGCAAACGATACTCCGTGAACCAGACCCGGTCGGGTCATCGGTGGCAGCGGCGGTAGCTCTTCGCCCATGTTTCTCTGATTTTCAGTTTATGCAGAGGTTCTAATGTATGTTAAGGTTATTCCAACAAATATTCTGCCTACTAGCACTCCATTTCCACGATCAGGGTGCGGCAAAATGCAGAAACAACCACTGCAGACAAGCGAACATCCATTTCAGTGTTTTCAGCACTTGTTCCTGAGTTCCGTCATTTCGCTGAAAATAAACATGGCGCAGGTCACGTGACGTGAGGACGACGATCTAGGGAAAGGGGTCAAGGATCGTTTAAAATATTTTGTGTTAATAAAGAAGAGAACAAGGGTAGGCCTAAAATAGTTGGAAGTGTGAAAATGATACAATTAGTCTTTGACTTAATTTATGGATAGTTAAGATCAAAGGAAATAAGTCAGTTTCGGAAAGAAAATCGCTTTTAAATTCATAATCATATCAAATGATTTGTGAATTGTAAAAAGAAAATGTTCCTCCGTAGATTGAGCCTGTGAAATGTTATCAATTAATGCTTATTCACTAGACACATTAATTGGATCAAAGCATATTCTGTAAATTCCCGCTCACCAGCATTATATTAATATATCCAGGAGAGGTGATCTCGAGGGACGCAAGGGGACACGTCCCCCCCCCCCCCCCCTCAATTTTTTTTTTGGGGGGGGGGGGCCGGGACGGAAAATTTCAAGTGCACCCAAACAAATGTAGGCCTATTGTAGCAAATACTGACTAAAGAATTTGCAACACACTTTTAGGTTCTGGAGGGCCCAAATGTGCAGTGTTTAGACTTATAAAAGTGCAGAAATCCCCCGGTCATGAAATAAATCGACGACCATGAATATATCTTTTGTTCTTTCATAGTTTTATAATTCTTTTGCTACTTTGAAATTTGTTCCATCATTTCTTCCATGCCTTCCGAAATTTCAATTGTTGATATGCCAACAGGCGCACCGGAAGCAGTTGGGATTGGGGGGGGGAGGGCAAATTACATTCCAGGGGGGCTCACCTTTTTCAAAGTGGAATATTAACGATCAGGTTAAAGTCTCACCTCCCTGAGTGTAGCGAGCGAAGCGAGTAGAGCATTACTTGTTGTGGGTTCCAGGGGCAGAGGTTTTGAACCATTAAATAACGGCCACATAAGCATACCTTATTTGTGACATTGAAGGTCAATAATTGGCGTGGGGTCCAGGGGCTGAGCCCCATGAAGCTCAGGGGTTTTAGGCATTTAATTATGGTCAGAAGAGCATTCAGGTGTCGTCTTAGGGCCGCTGGTAGGGTCCAGGGGCGGAGCCCCCGGAAGCTCAGGGGTTTTAGGCATTTACGGTCAAATGAGCATATTATAATACCATAAGACACTGGCAGGTAAGCTGACGACTGGAGCTAGCTATGAGATAGCCTATCAGTAATCAGTAATATCACTGGTTTTCGATATGACTTATTGGGTCGATAATAATGTTTATATAACTCCAAAATTGAAAAAAAAAATGATTATTTTTTATATCTGGTTTTCCCGGAAAAATATTTGAATTATTTATAAATAATGGATTGAGATGGATTCTCTTTACTGACGACTGGCGCAGCTACCGCCCCTCCCCCCCCCCCCCCCAAAGAGCCCTTTTAAGGAATGACCACGCCCAAGGCTCCCCTGTAGCCAAGCGCGTAGCCAGGATTTCATTTTAGGGGGGGGCGGTAGTGAGCACGCAAAGCGTGCGAATCACTTAAAGAGCGCGCGAAGCGCGCTCCCTAGGGGGGTGGGTGCAGGGAGGGGGAGCTTTGAAAGAAGACGATTCGTTGTACCTTTCTCGACTCATAATCCTTGTCTGAATTCAGTCCCTCCCCTCTCTCGCGCGAAGCTTTGACGTTTCATTAAATTATTAGAGAAAGAAGACGATTCGTTGTACCTCTTTTGACTCTTAATCCTTGTCTGTATTCTGTTCCCCCCCCCCCCCTCTCGCGCGAAGCTTTGACGTTTCATTAAATTATTAGATAAAGAAGACGATTCGTTGTACCTTTCCCGACTCATATTTCTTAATTTGAACTCAGTTTCCCCCTTCCCGCGCGAAGCGCGCAAGCTTTGACGATTCATTGTACCGTTCTCGACTCCTTTTCCCTTTTTCTTCCTACGTCCTCTTTCTTTTTTTTTCTTCTCTTTCTCTCTCTTTTTTTTTTTGGGCCGGCGTTTTGGGAGGGGGCGACCGCCCCCACCGCCCCCCCCCCCTGGCTACGCGCCTGCCTGTAGCTTTTTCTACATTGCTTCTCTCCCAACCCCGCAATAGGTCCCTATTTTCTTTTTTTCTTTTTTTACATTAACAACAACAACAGCAACAATAATAATTATTATAAAACTCCAAAGTTGGATCATTGTTAAAAGGGAAATTATCAGAGGTGATAAGGGGGACTTATCGCACCTGAAATTGGACAACAAACAGATATGAAAAGGGGCACTTATCTGAAGTGAAAAGGAGTAACTTCTCGTGCCTGAAAAGGGTCATTTACCAGAGATGTAAATGGGCATTTATGAGAAGGGGAAGGGACTCGTTTATTAATGGGGGCACTTTACCAGAGATGTAAATGGACATTTATGAGAAGGGGAAGGGACTCGTTTATTAATGGGGGCACTTTTCATTAGGAAACGGGGCACTTTTTAGAAAGGTAAAGGGGCACATGTGAAAACATAAGGTGCGCTTATCCGAGTTAGAATGGGGGTAGTCATTAAAAGGGGAAGGGGCACTTCTTACAGGAAAAGGGGCACTTGTCACAACAACAATAATAATTATTATAAAACTCCAAAGTTGGAGGAAAAAAAGTGTTTTTTTAATATCTGGCTTTCTCGGCAAACAGGGGCGGCCGAGCGACTTCCAAAGTGGGGGGGGGGGCACCAAGAAAAAAAAGGGCAATTTCTGGGTTAAAAGGGCACCTACAAAGGGAAATCTTAAAGCGAAATATACAATTTTTTAGACATATACCCGTACAATGTGATTACATTATCAGGGATGATTTCAATATTTGTTTCACTTTATACACCATACAAGATATTGCTTAAGCATCATACTTTGCAGCTGGGAAATTAGGAAACGGGGCACTTTTTAGAAAGGTAAAGGGGCACATGTGAAAACATAAGGTGCGCTTATCCGAGTTAGAATGGGGGTAGTCATTAAAAGTGGAAGGGGCACTTCTTACAAAGGAAAAGGGGCACTTGTCACAGTAAAATAGGCACTTCTCGTACCTAAAAAGGGGCACTTATGAGAAAGGCAAATGAACACTTTTTGCAAATAAAATGGGAACTTGTCGGAGGAAAAGGGGCACTTGTCAAAGTAAAAGGGGCACTATTCCTATGTAAAAAGGGGGCATTTCTTACAAAGTTAATGGGACGCTTTTTGGGTGCTTGAAAAAGTGGGGGCACTGTGCCCCCCGGGAGGGCCGCCCCTGTCGGCAAAATATATGAATTATTTGTAAATATGTGAATTGAGATTCTCAGATTTTATTAGATTTATGAGTTGTATTGAATTTTCTTTACTCGTCTCTTTCTGGCTCTCTTTCTTTTCTCTCTCTCTCTCTCTCTCTCTCTCTCTCTCTCTCTCTCTCTCTCTTCTCTCATTGGGACTGAAAAAGTATTGAATATATAATAATGTCTGATAGATAAAACAGAATTCTTGTCCTTCGTGTACTTCGTATAATACTTTACTTTGTTTACAAGTTAATTGCAAGCTCATTGTATCAATTAATTAAAAGAATAGAAACTTACTATATGGACTTTGAGGGAGATAAAAATGGGTTTGACATCAGTTTTTCTTTTCAAAGATAAAAAAAAAAAAAAAAGCACCAGCTGGGTGTCGAACCCGATACCTTCCATTTACCAGGCGATTGCCTATCAACTATAGACTAATATGTCACACTGCTAATCTTCATGTATTTGTTCATAATTGATACTTATTGTTGTAGATGTAGCAAACGACGTATTCTAACTAATTCAGAGAGTCGCTTGTTAAAGAAAGAGTATCACATGTTTGTTTTTTTCTTCTCCTTTGTTGAGGAGATGGGGGTGTCCCCTTTAAAAAAAGAGATAGACAAGTCAATTTCATGGGGTGAAGAAAAAAATGATATAAATAACATTGGGTATAAAGGAGAAGCTGGGAGTCGAACCGAGTTTTTATGTTATTTTGATTTATTTTGCAAACTGCAGACTTAAACTTAAAGTGATATTGCAATAGGCCACTGCCCTGACATAGCATCATAATGAATAGAAAACGGGTCTATTCAATTCAGTATATCCTACGAATTCTATAACAGGGCACCAATGAATAGGGAAGCTTGGCTATTCGATTCTGTTTTCAATAGCTTGCACCTGCTATTTTTGAATAGTTACGTAACAAACTACTCAGCCCTTTCTGACATGGCATCAATTAATGAATTGAAGGAAAAAACGGGGTAAACTGAATTCAGACAAGGATTAAGAGTCGAAAACAGTACAACGAATCGTCTTCTTTCTCTAATAATTTAGTGAAACGTCAAAGGTTCCGCGCTTGTCGCGGGAGGGGGCCAGCTGAATTCAGACTAGGATTTAGAGTCGAGAACGGTAAAACGAATCGTCTTATTTCTTTAATAATTTAATGATATGTCAGACGGTCAGAGCTTTCGCGCTTTGCGCGGGAGGGGGGACCTTAAAATAATTTAGCTCCTGGCCCCGGGTTTATAAGGTAATTGGTGGCTAGTTTTGTGGGCAATTGGTGGCCTCTACACCCCCCCCCCTTCCCCACTGACAAAGGTCTAGCGACGCCCCTGCTTGACAGGATACGTTACACTCTTTTATTTCCCCTTCTTTTTTTTAGACAAAAGCAATAAAAACACAATGCACAAAATAGGCAAAATAAGCTATACCCGACAAGCCCTTTGACATTGTGACAAACCAGGGAGACCCGTTAAAAATCCTGGCCATATTGGGTCACATAATTTTCAGGGAATACATGGTTGTGATCGAGAAGGCGAAGGGGAAGGGTCATAATAGTTGAAGGCGTATTATTTTGTGACGCTGGCAGGTCCGATCTATTTTCTTTCTTTCTTTTATTTCTCTTTGACATACTTTTTCAAAAAGTTGGGGAGCTTGAGCCCCCAAGGCCAGCCGTTTCGTGGGCCCTGACATGTAGGCTTCTAAATAATCTTTTTTTTTTTGCCTGGCTATACATTTGGGGATCATTTTGTCATTGTCCAACAAACGCCAAAAAATGAGGAAAAATCACTGTTATTTCAGCAACATTTGTAAATCACTGGTAATGAATCAGAAATTAACCACGTTTGTAGCCCCCCCCCCCCCTCCCCATCAGTACGTCAGGGGGGTGGGGTAGTGAGCATAATTTTTTTTCTCTCTCGTTTTGGCCCCCGGAAATTGGAAAATCCCGCGGGTCGTTGTTTTTGCTCAGTGGGGGGGGGGGGGGGGTAGTGTGGGCACTAAGTAATTTTTTGTTTATAAAAGACTCGTCGCCCCCCTCCCCCCCCCCCCCCCCCCCCGTGGATCCGCTTCTGGTGATATCAACGGAATACAGATTTTCTACAATATTTACTTGTACATTTTGAAGGATACTATGCGATGGAGCGTATATATTAGCGACCGAACGTGAAGATTTTTTGCATTTTTATTGGGCTAAACGTTGCACTCTTGGGCCCTCCAGAGCCTTAAAGCGTGTTGCAGTCTTTAGTCAGTATTTGCTTTACATTTTCTTTTTATAATTTTTCAAATTTTCAGAGGGGGGAATTGTCCCCCCGGGATCGCCGCCCCTGGATAGGACTTTACGTGACATATTCATAATTCCCGCAAAGTTATTATCTAAATATAACCGGATTATTCTCATTTTCACCAAAATGTCTGCACAGAAATGCACTTATCTAATTATTGCCATGCTTCCAACATGTCTTTATAAAACAATGGTATACCATTCAAGTCCATTTGATTTATATCATGATTACAACAAAATATAATTCTCACCCAGTGATCTGAAAAATTTGTCAAAATTTACTTTCCGAACCTGCCACTTTTTTCCAGAACCGTTTGATCGACATTATTCTCCGAGTCTTGACAAATACCTTGAAATTCGTTACTCTGAGTCCCCCAATGTATTAATCTTGATATAATATTTTCCTTTCTATTCTGTCTCTCCCTCCCCAAATAAAATTATAAGAAATCTTTTTGATTTCTTCAAAAATGATTTGTGAGACTGTTATGGAGACGTAACTTAATTTAGTTTTGAAAATACATATATTTTTTAACAATTTAATTTTGCCAAACATAGTTAAAATCTTGTTGCTTCCTCCAACTGATTAGTCTTTTGGTTTTGCTCAAAATTTCCTTATAGGTCTAGTTCAAATCATCTTTTATTGGGAATAACGTGCGTAATATACCCCTAGGATTTTTATATGTTGTTCCCGATGTCCGAACGAAGGTAAACCCGCGGCCTATCGATATCACTCTCCTCTCCCAATCACATTAATTTGTCTTATCCATATTTATCTTTTATCCACATATTTTTCAAAGTTTTTAAAAACTTTCTTCACTCTATTAATTGAATCCATATCTTTTAAAAACAATGTAATAGCATACAACACTTGTTTTATTTTTCTAATCCCAAATCCTACTCCTTATTGTTTTGTTGTAAATGATCTGCTGATCCATTGTAGTGTCCCTTCCATTAATTGTGTGCAGTAGCGCCCGCTTTCGCCATAAACCATACATCCCCATGACCATGTCCATGACAACGTTTGTAAAATTTATGAGAGTGTAATTCTGTATATTGTTTAATAGCTCAAAGGGAAACTATACAGTGCGAGATGGCTAAGACTGTATCTATTTCCGACGAAGTGAGTACTTGGTTTTCAATATTTCAGTTTTCATGTACATGTGTATCACGCGCCGTCGACCGTCCAAATGAAAATGACCGTCATAATGGCAGCTGAACCCGAGGCCATAGTCCTACAGCTTTGCTGCCGCAGCTCCAGCGTACATAAGCTATTGCCTTTGCGCTGATTCGCGTTTCTGAACTGAGCCTGCGCCTGCTGCTGAATGAAGTTCGCGTATGACTACGAAGGTGATTAATGTCTGTTTTTCTTGTTTATTTGCAGACATCCGTAGCAACATCTGGGAAATGGTTTTGGAAAGAAGAAACACAATCGCTTGAATTCCAGGCAAGGTAAAAATTAGTTCAACTTTGTTTTTGTGTGTGTGTGCCGTATTCGTAACCAAAGGCAAAGTTGCTATTGTTTGGGATCTATACAATAAAAGGCCCTCTGCCGGTGTGAATGTCTTTGTAGTGTAGTGGTTATCACGTCTGCTTTACACGCAGAAGGTCCCCAGTTCGAGCCTGGGCGAAGACTTTATTTTTCAACTTTTTTTGCCTTCCATTTTTAAGAATATATTTGTTTGTTCAATAATCAATCAAATATTTGAATGTAAAATAAGATATTTCCAGTTATTTCTTTAAAGTTTTTCTATGCTGAAGATGGATAGAGATATCCAGCCACATTCAGAGAAACTGGTTTTAAAAAGTTTGTGGTCATATATATTGGATGTTATTAGATATGGGTTACTATTATGTGTTAATGATGTCATTCTATAACTTCTTATCGATTATTTTGTATAAAGGCTAAGTCAACACCAAAAAAAAAAGATGCAGAAAAATAAGAGAAACATAGCAAAACAAATTTGAGTAAAATCGGATAACTAATAAGGAAGTTATGAATTTTTTGAAAAGTATGAAAAACTATGAACCTTAAAAAGTCACTACACAAATTGCCAATTTGGTTATCAGTTTGTGACGTCATTGCCTTACTATTTATTAATTGCTTAATATATGTTTATCTCATTAATTCCCCTTTTTATCCCCAAAAACTTGATTTCCCCATGCCTTAATTTGCCCAGGATATAGGGATTTATGTCATATTGCTTGCATGACATTTCACAAAATCTTTTATGAACTTTGGAGAATCGATACTATTTTCTGAATATTGTATATTCATAATCATTGATTAATATATAAATAGTTTATCAAATTCACATTTTTCAAGATTTAAATGAAGAAAAAAATAACTCTGGTGTGAGGAATTAAGATTTTTAAGGGGAAAATTGGAAATTCATATTATCAAAACAAAGAAAACAATGAGTTGGATAGTGGGGCAATGACGTCAAAGACTGAATGAGTTGCCAGTTTGTATTGTGATTTTCAAAGTTTTTCATGTCATTCAAAAATTCATAACTTTCTTATTAGTTATCTGATTTTGCTAAAACTTTTTGTGATTGCATGGTGTGTCTGATTTTCTGCTTTTTAGAGTGGACTTGCTCTTTAAGTATGATTTTGTTATCTTTCCCATTTTTACATATTTCATCATGCCTGTGACAGCTGCCCCATGTCCAAGATCTGTATTGCTATACTGAATTTTTTTCTTCTTCATAACAAATTACCATGATTGATGTGTAGTCCTACAGGATTTCAAGGGGGGGGGGGGGGTCACTCTCATGTACTAAAGTGCTACCCACCCCCCCCCCCCAAACCTGTGAACCTGAAAAGGTACATGTACTGGGACCCTCTTTTTTTGTGTGCGATAAGTGCTTGAAAAACACCCCTTTTTAAGGAAAACGTTGACGATGCTGTATAGCTGAAAAAGGCACCCTTTCAACTCTTTTTCTGGACGCGGGTGCATAGCCAGTCATGTTGGGAGTGCCCCCCCCCCCCCTCCTCCTCCGGACAGGATCATCATATTCAGATGATGATGATTGATGCTACACAAGCAATGCACAAGCAATAAGTGAATTATGAATGAGAGAATTACAAAGTCCTGACCGAATTGCCAATTTGTCTCAATTAAATAACAATCTTATTGAATTATATGATTGTGAATTTTAATATTGTTTCTTTGTTACTGTATTTTGTATGTATTTGATTTATATATAAGTGTACTTATAGTTGGGAGGTCAAGTGATTTTTTTCTTCTCACTCCATATATTTCTTACCCAGTGCTACACAATCACTCGACCAGAAAGATAAGAAGAATCAGAGGAAGAAAAATCATACTTTTGGGGAGGCTGCAAACAAGAAAGACAGGTATCAACCCTTTTTTTTTTTTTACCCAATCGAAGATTTGCAAATTAATAATCATGTAATTGTAGAAAATATAAAAGTTCTAAATGTTATTGTAAAGTGTTTTTTATGACCTTTACTTTCACCCAAGCTGTGTACTTTGATAACAGGATTATTAGAAAGGTGTTGAATTGTTGAAAGGAAGTTTGTAATCTTACTATGGTTAGTTAGCATACTTTCTTTGTTTTCTTATGATATCTATTTAATTGAACATTAATCCAATAGAGAATGTTACAAGTTTATGTGATAACTGATTCTGCCTTTTATGATTTTCAACAAGTAATTGCAATAAATATGATTAATCCTCCGGTAATGGTTAAAGAACAAAGATTAGGAGAATTGTCATGAGTTTGTAATATAAATGCTTTGAATAATTTCCTTTTCTTATGCAGAGCAACACCAAACCGACTCGATGGAAAAGGTCAAGGAGGGTCAAAGGGGAATCAGCGTATTGGTGCTAGGTCAGCAAGGTCAAACAAAGTGGAAAAAGAAACAACTGTGACATTGCAGAGAGTGAAGTGTGAGACAAAGAAGATTCAATCGTGTTTTCAGTACCGAACAAGAAATTGATGTTGTTACTTGTTATTGACATAATGCTTGTAGTAGATAGTAGATCGTCATTATAATAGATCGATAAAGAAAATTCATATTCTTCATCAAAAGCTTGATTACAGTGAACCAGTTATTCAGAAGCGAGGATAAAATAAAGGATGTAATTTGGATGCATTGTTGAATTATTGTTTATAAATATGTAAAATTTTGCCTTCAAAGGTAAAATATTGACTTTTTAAGTTGACAAAGTAATAAAACAGATGTGCTTGCTCTAGTTACTAAAAAAAATGATTGTATATATCACTAAGAATATAAACTTTGTCTTCATTATATGAATATTAAGTTAGTTTTTACCTAGTGTTTAAATTGTGCAGTCATCTGATTTAGTAATACAATTTTTTTTAGATTAATCATCTCACACTTCATTATCATATACTTGATAAGCATACTGCACATTATGGATCCACATGTTTCTATTTTATAATTACTAACCATCTTATTTCAAGTTGTAGCCATTTCAAATAAGAATAGCCTAGCTAAATTCTAACATCACAGTGGATGTAAGTATAATCAAACTATCACCAATTTCTCTTCATAGCTGTTGCCCTGTTCATGCTTAATGAAGTCAACTTTCCCACCGATTCATTTGAGATGTGCTTATTTGAGTAAGTTGTCATGGGAATTTATATATCTAGAAATGGAAGTAAATGTATGGTAGCTTCATCTTTTTTCTTCTTTTAAGATCTCTGTTATATACCGGTAAACATTCATTTATTTATTTTTACATTCGTTTTTTTTAAAGACTTTCAATAATGAAGCAGGAGAAAAATACTATGTTGTTGTTGTTATTATTAAATGTATATTTTGTATAGTCAAATAGTAAGACAAAATATTACAAAGAATGCAATGGATTATAAAAAGATTATCACTCTTCTGCTGTGGATTAATACTTGAACTTATTGATAGTATTCTGTTTTTGTTTTTCCGGATTTGGAGCTCTAAGCATCATCAATTTTCTACCTTTAGATACAATTGAAATGGTATTATTAGCAGTAGATTTAATGTTTGTAGCAGGCTTAGTATCATTATTATATTACTCTGACCATCATCGTATGAATGTATAATTTTCATTTCAGACTAGACCAATTTGATGAGTTTCTCCTTGGATTACTGAACTACTTTTCAAGTTACTTTGACAGAAGTGTTTTGGAAAACAGACCCAAGCAGATGACCACGTAAGAACAAAGCTGCTCAAAGATAACATGAAGGCTTGTCACATGTCTATCAAGATACATTTTGCAGTATGATTGTGATAAGCAGTTTTATAATTTCATAATTTTAATTTGTATAACACTCAGTTTATCCACTGTGTCTCTAAACACTTAACACACACATATATTATTCACATAAAGTGGTGTACTATGTGTACCAAATTGAAAGCTTGGCCGGTAAGAAAGGTTTTCCGAGAGGAATTTATCAACTCAAGTAAGATTTATTTTTCCTATGCAGGTTATAAAAGTAAATACTATCAATATGTGGTCACTGGGGTACAGAACATTTAATTGAGTGCATTATTTTTTGTTGTGTATAAAACAGTGAACCCAGTTTTGCAGAGCAAGCGGCCATGGCTGAAATCACTGAGCGCATGGATGTAGCTCAGAGGCATCTAGCCCAGAGCTACTGTATTCTTATTCTTGGTCTTGGTTTGCATGAACATCATCACATGGGCAGTGGAATGTAAGTGGCATATCACATTCTATAAAACCAGTTACTGTTATATATTTAAGCCCTGCTGCAACCGGCATACCAGAATAAATGCCATAAAAATTAGGTATTGATTGACCCCTTTCCTTTGATAGCTACTGTGACTGCTCGAGCCACTGCTTTACAATTAATCTTCCCTATTGTTAAATATCCACTGATAAGCCCTGATTCACTTTTCTTCTTTTTTTTAATCTTTTTTTTTTAAGGGGGCATGATTATTTTTTTGATTCTGGCTGCATTTCAGTAATGATTTAGTTGTTGTCAAGAGGCAGTTTTTTATATTAACAAATGCCAGTTATAATTTTGTTTTCTTTTATTATCATGTGACAGGAAGAGACAGTCATCTACATACAAAGATAGAGAAATATATGAAGTAAGTGTCGAAATATCTAACATTGTGTGTTTATTTGAGAGGTTATGTATAGCATTCCTTTGTTATAACATGCAACATAAACTTTGTGGAAATTGAATTGTCTAAATTGAATATCTTTACATCCATAGTTAATACATGGAATTTATATTTCACTTCACTCAGAAAAATTCATAATTTCTTGGAGAACATGTGAATGTGTGTAATTTATTTTCTTCAGTTGGTAGTTCAGTGAAAACAACAGGAAATTTATTTGATGTTTGACAATTTTCTGTTTTGAGAGTGGGTGAAAGTTTAATAATTGACCTATTGATAAATTAAATAAATTAAAATGACTGTGTTGATAAAACAGAAAGACTTACAAGTAATCATACCTCCTTCAGATAAATCATATCTCCTTAATCAATGAATAGTACTGTGGCGTAACCGGGCTCTGCCGGGGTAGCGTTCTGCCTGACCTGTCGCAACGACAGGTCAACGCTGACTGACTGACATCTCACGATGTACACATATATATTTCACAATTAACTATAACGCCCTCTACGTCTTACTAAACTACTGGACTAGTTATGCTACAGTACCTTAGTGGATAGATACAATGCTTGGTAAGATAATCATAATTGCAACAAGATCAGAGACACAGTAAATTTTGCAATTGGCTGTTAGTCACATTTTTATGCTAAATGGCCCAGATGTACTTTCCAAGTTAATATTTTTTAAATGATTAATCAACTTATGTTTTGTTTACATTTTTGTTCCATTGAACAGACTTTGTATAAGTTTTGTGTATACCTGGTATGGCTGGTATTCAGAAGAAAGGACCATGATCTCATCAACAAAGAGCTGGGAAGGTGAGTTGCAAAATTCAGTTCTTTCTAGTACTGTATTTTGTTTTCATTACTTTCATTTGCGCTGGATTAAATAAAGGCCTGTTCAAAAGTTGGCAGTCATCTACACTCAAAACTCCCAGATGTGAATTACATACAGGTGACGGTAACATATTGCAGTATCATATTGCATTTTTCAAAGAGTGTATAAATTCTTTTTAATAAGATGTAAATGAATATCACATGTAAATTAATATAGAATCTAATAACACCTAACTGCCTAAAGTAGCACCCGAGGTGCACAAAACAATCAAGAATCATCAGTAATACAAAAGTTTAAAAAACAAATGGCCCTAATCAGACATAATATCTAATATGATGATAAAAATCATCAATTTGTAAGTGTTTATTATCGTCTGTTTATAATCAGAATGGTATTAAATTATTATTTTTAGCACAGAGTTATGCCTTCTGGCTCTCAACAGAACTTATCAAAAAGGTTAAAAGGTCCATGAAGATGACTGAACCTTACTGATTGATTTTAATTTCAGAATCTTGAGGTCTGATGTGTTCAACCCTGCCCTGCGAGTCAAGAATTCCTTGGATGAAGATGCTGAGAATGAAGAAGAAGCAATCAGGGATATGTTTACCTTCACCCCAGCCACCACTCCAGCCGAAAGAAGAAGACAAAATAGGTACGTTATCAAGTTATATTCTCTCATCTCATTGCCAACAAGTACTATCAATGCAAGCAATTTCTATCACATGCTATCCAGGGCAATCAGTAGTGTGTGATGTTTAACATATTTTCTCTTTTTTCTTTTTTAATTAAGTTGTCTATGTATCAGAATTACTGTTATAGTATAACTTTCACTTAATTTCTTGTATAGAAATATTTCAGAATGTACATAATTATGTTAAACCAATTACTGATTAGTATGTTAGCTTGGAATTTGAATATTGTCCCATTGAAGATTAAATGATAATATTTTTTATTCTATTACCATGCATTGATCAGTAAATCCATACTCTTGATACAATAATGATTTCATAAAAAAACTTTGAATCATCATATAGTTGATTGTTTTAGAAATAATGTGCACATGATATGCTATGCTTTTAGAAATAATGTGCACACATAGAAGGAATTTGTATTGACTTCAATCGTTCAATGGATGACAGATATATATTTGCATTTTTTGTAAAAAGTAATTTCACTTTCTTTCTTTTTCTATTCCAGAGAGAGACCTTCAATTACAAATATAATCAAGTGAGTATGACAAGATAAGAACAAATATATAATGTCTGAAATACTTATTACATTTTAAACAAATATTTTAATGTGAAGAATTTGTAAAGGATATTTCAGTGATGCCAAAAGTGAAATATATTAATGAGTTATATTCAAATGATGGGCTACTGAACTATTTACCATGATTTTGTTTTCTTTGTAATATGACATATTTTGAAACATTGTAGACTAAGGTTTCAGATGCATTAAATTGAATATTTATAGCAATGATGTATGTTTGAAATGTTTTTCCACTCATCTTGTTTATCAGGACGAGATCACCAGTTCTCAAGTCACTACTCCCCACTCCTAAAGAAGCTAATGAATACTTGTTTGGCAAGATGACATTGGATGCTTCTGGGTAAGAAACTGGATTTAATTCTTTCAGAAAAACTAGACAAATATTAGGGGTTCATTGCTATTTGGGAATCCATATTTGCTTTTCCTACCACCAAAGAAGATATTTTGCTTTTTAAAATTTTTTTTTTAATCAGAACTGACAATTTGTTATATAAGTACTTCTTTGTCTCCCCTTTGAAATATTTAGATTTAGATTATTACTTTTTAAATGTGTAGGAAATTTTGATTAAAATGATAATTTCTGACAAAAGGAAAGAATGTGAGAAAATTATGTATGTTAGCTAAGTCATCGCCTTTTTTTTTTCTATTTTAATTTTGATCTTACTAAATGAATTTTTATCTTTTCACAGAAAATCTCAAACACCAGATTCTAATTCACCAGCTGGGAAAGGAAGACCTTCATTCTTCAAGAAAAAGTGAGTAGAGATTATATAAAACATGCATTCATGAAAAGATCTTTAGCAGTTGAAGTCGGAAATCATTTAATCATCACCTTAGTAATCAAAGATGTGTATAGAATGATAAGTATTAAGAAAATACTTCTGATCTACTTTGAGATTATTTTGAAGATTGGGTGTAAAGTGCGCCTCCAAAGCAGAGAGCTGATTTGTAAATGTCACACCTTTTAATTATGTGGATATTATTTTTATGCCTCCGCCACCGAAGGTGGTGCCGGAGGCATCATGTTTTCGGGTTGTCCGTCCGTACGTCCGTCCCGTTTGACCGTTATCACAATATCTCAAGAACCATTTAAGATTTAAACTTAAGACTCGGGAATAGTATTTATCACCATAGGAAGACGATCTGATTAGATTTTGGAGTACGTAGGTCAAAGGTCACAGGTCACAGAGGTCAACTTATGAAATTCCTTGTATTGAGTTTGTGAGCGCGATATCTCAAGAACCATTTGAGATTTAAACTTCAAACTTAAGGATAGTATGTATCACCATAGGAAGACGATCTGATTAGATTTTGGAGCACGTATGTCAAAGGTCAAGGGTCACAGAGGTCAACTTATGAAATTCCATACATTGAGATTGTTATCATGATATCTCAAGAACCACTGGAGATTTAAACTTCAAACTTAGTGATAGTGTGTATCACTATAGGAAAACAATCTGATTACATTTTGGAGCATGTAGGTCAAAGGTCAAGGGTCATAGAGGTCAACTTATTAAATTCCATACATTGAGATTGTTATCATGATATCTCAAGAACCACTGGAGATGTAAAAACTTCAAACTTAAGGATAGTATGTATCACCATAGGAAGACGATCTGATTAGATTTTGGAGCACGTAGGTCAAAGGTCAAGGGTCACAGAGGTCAACTTATGAAATTCCATACATTGAGATTGTTATCATAATATCTCAAGAACCACTGGAGAATTTTCACTTCAAACTTAATGATAGTATGTATCACCATATCATAATATCTCAAGAACCACTGGAGATTTAAACTTCAAACTTAATGATAGTGTGTATCACCATAGGAAGACAATCTGATTAGAGTTTGGAGCACGTAGGTCAAAGGTCAAGGGTCACAGAGGTCAACTTATGAAATTCCATACATTGAGATTGTTATCATGATATCTCAAGAACCACTGGAGATTTAAACTCCAAACTTGTTTAAATTGCTCTATGGCGGAGGCATCATTTTCGACTGCGCGCAGTCAAAATTCCATCTAGTTTTAAATAGAAAGTTATACCCGAACACTTATGCGTCATGGAATTCAAATAACTGCTGTTGAAAGTTTAACTTCTTGTCAAATTGTTAGATCATTTTTCTGCACCAGGTTTGCTTTGTTTTGTTGTTTTATTGATTCATATGCTAATTTTAGTGCATGAACATGTGTGCTTTGTCAATGTCCATTCACTTTGCGTGGTATGATCCTGGTATTAAAGACATTTTATTTCCATCTGTACAACAGCATTGGTATCATTGGTGAACCACTGAACCAGTTTAACCCTCAGACCCTGGCTCCTGTCGGGTCGGAACAAGATGAAGAAACAGAAGAAGATCAGACCAAGAGAGAGTAAGTTTATTTGTTTCATTTCAGGGGGGGGGGGTCTAGTGTTTGTTTATTGTAGTTTACCCACCTATGATGGGTTCCGTTTGTGGATGTATTGCTATTCTTGTTTAATCCCATCATGAAAAAACACTGTTATTACAGATTAGAGTAATATTTATCATCTTATTCTCTTATATGAGAGAAGTAGACATGAAAATGATAAAACCCACTGGGCACTGAGAATGTTATTTTTCAACCCTGTAGAAATCTTGAATAATGATAATATTAAGCACACAATGTAGTCAAAACAACTTTCTCATATCTATGATGTTTAAACGAGAAATAAAACACTAATTTGTCAGTATCATACAATTACCAACAATTTATGAGAAATTCATACATCTAAATATTTCAATTTAACATGTTCGCTTAAAGTCAAAAGCAACAACGTCCTGTACAAATAATGTTTATCATAATAATTCTATGTTCCTATAGGTACCTTGGTAATAGATTTTATGTGATGTAATCACTCATGATCCATTTTTATTCATCCATTCTTTCATTAGTAATAACCATTTCATTATGATCTTTTACTTTCTAATTGATTTCATGACATACTCGTGTAATAATTTAATTCATTTCACTTCACTCCCTTTCACATTTTTACTCCCATTGCATCCATTTCTTATCAATATATTCTTTTACCTTCATCTAATTTTAATGTTATCTCAATCTTATCATTTATGTTATTTCAATGCATTAATATTTGTTTGATTGTGATCTAATTTCTAATCACTTTTCATAGCTGGTAGGTTTCATAGACCTTGTGCTTGTCATTATTTTAATGTTGAATCTTAGATAATGATGTTCACTGAAATATGAGATGAATGTGGTATATCTAACTTTATTTGCATTTCACATTGGTAAATATTATTAAATAATTTGATCAAGCATGATATATAAAGTGGCTACATTCTTAAATTTCCATGGTCACCAATCATCTTTAAAATAACAAAGAGCTTGTGAAATGAAACCCAAATTGAACTGGTGATAAAAGTTTTGAATGTAGACACAATATAATGATATAATCTTACATGTTCATTATATTGTGCTCTTTATATACAACTCTGATGAAATGATTTGAACATTAAGCAACTTCCCATCCATTAAAAGAACTATAAAAAAAAAAATTAAAAATAGAAGCAAAATTAACAAGGAGACTAAACTACACTTACAGGCTTTCATACTACCATGTTTTTCCTGTCAATCATGCAATGCTGTAAATATCTAGTAGACAAAGGCCTGAATTCACAAAGGAGGTTTAAATTTAAACCTCCTTTGTGAATCCGGGCCATAGTGTCTAGTAACTTAGTGTTTAAAGGCCATGTACAGTAAAGGTAATTTCTCAATGAGAAAAACTTGAATGCTGATCATTTGGATGTGGACAATTACTGTTAAGGGTATGAATTTTAATGGTATTACAAAGATAAAGTAAAACAATAGATAAGCTACAAAGGAATGATACTTTACAAACTGTTTTTACATTACATTATTTGGATTTTATAACAGTTTAATTGGAGAAAAAATATGATAAAGGGAAAGGAATTACCAACATTGTACATGATGTAGATTGTGTGTTCTTCTATTGATGTTTCAACAAATAGCAAACTGTTAATATTATTGATTTTTCTTCTTAATCAATCTTACCCCTAATATGTATTAGAATGTTAGTTTCTACAGTATCCTTTCTGCAATTTAGTTTGATTCTCCTCACCATTCCTCTTTGCGCAAACTTTTATTCTGTTTTTCTCAGAGGATTTGCCGGGACGCCTACCAAGCCAGCACCAATGCAAGGTACCTAAATATTCATCTTTTTTACTTTCATTTCAACATTAACTCTTTGTTTGCTTTGTTCGCCGATTTGCACGGACGTAGGCGTGCCAACTTCGCATTTTTGCACAGATGTATACGAGTCAATTAGACATTCATAATACCGCTCGCAGTGTGTAGCCACGCGTTGCGTTTACTATTGTTTACATTGTATACATCGCACACTTTCCGGTAAACTGTTTTTCTTCATAGTGTTACATTCGAAATTACCGTGTATTTAGCGGTTTTCTTTGGATTTTTTTTACTGATGTTACGATGGCACCTGCTGGAAAACGTCAACGTGTGTTTAGTGTAGAGGAGGCTCGAGATCTTGTTACTATGGAAGCATGGAGCATGGACTCTGATTCCGACGAATCGAGCAGTGACGAAGACTCTAGTGATAAAAGTGTTCCCTGAGAGTAGACTGATAGAATAAGAATGAATAAAAATTAATGAAAGAGCTAGAGATGACAGCAAGAAAGAGAGTAGACTGATAGAATAAGAATGAATAAAAAAAATGAAAGAAGGAGATAGAGATGACAGCAAGAAAGAGAGTAGACAGTGATAGAATAAGAATGAATAAAAATAATGAAAGAAAGAGATAGAGATGACAGCAAGAAAGAGAGTAGACTGATAGAATAAGAATGAATAAAAATTAATGAAAGAGCTAGAGATGACAGCAAGAAAGAGAGTAGACAGTGATAGAATAAGAATGAATAAAACTAATGAAAGAAAGATGTATCCTGTCTTGCCGTCATCTTTATATCTTTCTTTTATTATCTTTATTCATTCTTATGCTATCAGTGTTTACTCTCTTTCTTTCCGTCATCTCTATCTTATTATTATTATCATTTTCCTATCTATATGTACCCTATGTCTTGCCGTCATCTGTATATCTTTTTCTTATTATCTTTATTCATTATTATGCTATGAGTGTAATACTCTCTTTCTTGCCGTCATCTCTATCTCATTATTATTATCATTTTCCTATCTATATGTACCCTATGTCTTGCCGTCATCTCTATATCTTTCTCTTATTATCTTTATTCATTCTTATGCTATCAGTGTTTACTCTCTTTCTTTCCGTCATCTCTATCTTATTATTATTATCATTTTCCTATCTATAATTATGTACCCTATGTCTTGCCGTCATCTCTATATCTTTCTCTTATTATCTTTATTCATTCTTATGCTATCAGTGTTTACTCTCTTTCTTGCCGTCATCTCTATCTTATTATTATTATCATTTTCCTATCTATATGTACCCTATGTTTTGCCGTCATCTGTATATCTTTCTCTTATTATCTTTATTCATTCTTATGCTATCAGTGTTTACTCTCTTTCTTGCCGTCATCTCTATCTTATTATTATTATTATTTTCCTATCAATATGTATCCTATGTCTTGCCGTCATCTCTATATATTTCTCTTATTATCTTTATTCATTCTTGTGCTATCAGTGTTTACTCTCTTTCTTTCCGTCATCTCTATCTTTTTATTATTATCATTTTCCTATCTATATGTACCCTATGTCTTGCCGTCATCTCTATATCTTTCTCTTATTATCTTTATTCATTCTTATGCTATCAGTGTTTACTCTCTTTCTTTCCGTCATCTCTATCTTATTATTATTATCATTTTCCTATCTATATGTACCCTATGTCTTGCCGTCATCTCTATATCTTTCTCTTATTATCTTTATTCATTCTTATGCTATCAGTGTTTACTCTCTTTCTTTCCGTCATCTCTATCTCATTATTATTGTTATTTTCGTATCAATATGTATCCTGTCTTGCCGTCATCTTTATCTCTTTCTCTTATAATCTTTATTCACAGTAAAGTCCTTTCATTTCATATCACTATTTCTCTCTCATAATGTCTCTCACGTCCGTTCTCCATATTTTATTCATTGCATACTCCACTCGTCAATCATTTCTGATAATAAGCTCTCTCACAATAAAGTAAATGGAAAACAATGCAATATAGTTTATATTTTAAGATTGATTCATTCTTTCTTTGTATATCTATGGCTGTGATAAATGTACTTGAAATCAATTTTATTGAGGGGTAAAGAAGGTGAGAGAACAGATGCGGTGAACATTCATAATGAGACATTTCAATAAGATGCTGATTATGTCATGTATATCACATATAATATATTATGCCTATACCATTTTTACATGCTCATACCAGTGGGCAAAATCAATAACATTCTCTTATTTCTTATTGACTTATCATGGCACAACAAAGAAAAACATCCCCACGACGTCCCTTTTCATGCCCCGCTAAACCGGACATTGACAATAACCTGGGGTAATAGGGATTTCAATGGGCAGATTAGCCCATTGTCAAGGGTGGCTGAGCGGGGTACTTTCAAGTCTCTCCCTATTGAACTTCTTTTCTTCAACAACCTAAATACTAACCTTCTGAATTGTTAGAATACTTGAGCAAGGTATGTAAAGAAAGGTAAGAAGTCCACCTTTCTAATAGATTCGATTTGAAGATGTCTTATCATTGCTAAATAAGAAATTCTAGAGGGATAAAAAACTGCCGTAAATAAGAAAAATTAAACATTATATAATTATGATTATTATAAAAATGATAATTCAAAATATAACAAATGACGGTTCATCGAAAAGCACGTTTTCCGGTCTACAACTTTGCTGCACAATATTTTTCATCATGATCATCCAGTGAAGAGTTATAGCCTCTTGATTCAGCAGAGTCAATAAAGATTCCCTCGAAATGTGTGACCCTAAAAGAATGTGGCACAGGGGGGTTTTTTAAGTGGCGCATAAAGAGTTAAGAATGGAAGAATAATGCATTAGATTATCACATGAAAAAATAATTAAAAGTACACATACTCTCAAAGGTAATGTTTCAGCTGTGTTATTAAATCATCACAAAGAAGATGTAAATTTAGGTCAACATTTATTCATATTTACTCTTTTGGGAAGTTTCTTGGAGATTGGTGATTTAGCATACAAATGGCTGAACCTATCCATCTAGTGCATTAAATTGAATTCCACCATGGTTCCTTCAAACGTTTTCCATTTTCTTCCCCCTCCCCCCAGGTGGAGTGAGTCGTCAGATGACCTCCTTGTCACAAGCCACAGATGTATTCTCAGATGACGAAGACTGAAGGACATACCCCTTAATTTCTCTTTGTAATGTTATTTTCATCTTTCCGTCCTTTCTCCTTATATAAAGATGCAATAGCCTTGATCCTTTTACATGTATATCTGATATATAAAAGTTTCCACCTGGAGTAATTGGTCTAATTTTGCCTCAAGATTTTTTTTTTTTTTGATGAGGCATAACATTGCAAATTTATAATGAGTTATTGCCTTTAATGATGATGTTGTTGTTTAATGCGGGAATTAACATTAGTCAATATTTATTAAGTGTATTTCTATAGTTGGTAAAAACTCAACTTGATTTACAGATGGAGAGAAAGAGAGAGAGAGAGAGAGAGAGGGAGAGAGAGAGAGAGAAAAATAAAAAGACAGATTAAGGGGGGATTACTACACACAAGAGCAACACAGAGATGTTGGAAAATTCCACTTGCAAAAAAGAAAAAACACCATCCTGCATTAGCAATTCATATGAGTATTCAAAATTACAGCCGAAATGTTATCCATGTTGACTTATCATTACTGTAATAAAAGGAGAAGTAATTCTGGAAAAAAAGTAGACAAGGATCCCAGGACTATTGATTTTATACACAGGATAAACACATTGGACACTTTGGTTTCTAATTACCAACAAAAGACAAATATGAGAAAGATATTAGTTGAAAAGATATAGTAATTGTGTATAATTACTGTTATGATTTGTTATTTTATTTTGTAACATCAGTGTCTTTATAGGTCACTAGTGCAGTTTGATGACGATTTTGATACAAGTACTTAGTGGTTTTAAAGCTGGCACATGTATAATATCATTTTTGCTGTATGGAGATGGCTATTGATTAAAATAACCTATTATTAGCTCTTTTGAATATCTCTGGGCATGTATTATCATTGCAAAAGCTACATTTCTTTAGAACTTTTTAATCTGAAATGAATGAATACAGATTTGTACAAGTATACTTATATTATGTAATTACCAAATGCTGTACAACATTGGACGTTATCATTATGTATATCATTGTAGCAAAATTACCATTTCAACAAAATAATTAATTAAATAAAAATTAAATAATTAAAACGTTATGATTATACTATTCTTTTTCAGTTAAATTGTTAGTCTGTTCACATCTGGTAATCTTGATATTAGTCTAAATGTGTATCTGCAAGTATAATAAAGGTGTAAACAGGAATTTCACTTTTGTACTATAAAATCATTTCCAATTATATCTGTCTATTTTAAACCATATTGTGATGTTAGCATATTATTAATTGATGTAGAAATTGGTTCCGTCAAAATTTTTGTCTAAAAAAGCGAAGAAAACCTTTAATATAAAATAAAAGTCAGCTATACTAGAATGTTATAATTATTGTAATGAATAAAAAAAAACATGTTTTCACTTTGACATGTGCAGTTGAAAATAAAGAAATATGATTTGTTGATACATGAATTATTCAAATGAATGCAAATGATCTTTACAGGAAATCGTCAAGGTTGTCAAATACCAACACATTATTTGTAACGTTATTTCAGGATAACAATGTAATTTAAAATTAGGGTAGATAATATGGTTTACATTAAGTTAAAATTCATTACTTTTTTGCCTCCCACATTTAGCCTATAGTGTGACTTTTTTATTGGGTGGAAACTTTTTTTGAAATGCATTAATACAGTAACATAAATATGTTATTATTTGCTTATCTATGTTGCATTTGTTTGGGGAAAAAGAGGGACTGTTTAGATCTCTTTAAATAATTTCACATGCCCCATACAATGTATACCAGTAGATGAATAGTTTTTAACATGGAAAACATCAGAGGAAAGCATTTAGAAGCCTCCGACTTGGAGTGTTATATGTGTAGAACATATGACATGTAAATACTCTTATTTACATCTCTATCTTACAGATTAATATATATATAGGATATATTGCTTTAATAAATGTGTCGAGTAATGCTAATTGAGTGTTTGAAATTGTCAGGCGTTTGATTAGAATATATTGAAAGATTACTTCACTAATTTACGTAGAGAGAGAGGGGTAGAGGGTGAAAATGATATAGAGGAAAGAAGGGGAAGAGACAAGGAGAGGAGAGAAAGAGATTTAAAAATAATGGGGAGGTGGTAGGGGTTAGGGGAGAGAAAGGAGGAGTGTGAGGAGGAATTAATAAAGACTTAAAGACGGTGATGGAAGATGAAAGTTGTGCAGGTTGGAGGAAAATGAGATGATTTTTTTAAAAATAGACTAAAAGGAGAGAGAAGGATCTCATTGAAACACATTAATACAATGATGAAGACTACGGTATATGTGATTGTGATGATCCAACTTGAATGAGAATATTTGAGATGGGCTGCATAATAATAGCCCGTTGGAGATTACAAGTTGAAGGAGAATAAGAGACATTCGGAGAGAAAAAGTGGGCGGCGCCATCAAAAAGTCATGTCGGCTGCGCATTGACCGTAGACTACTTTTATTAAAAAGAAAAAATGGAAAACGACGACAACCGCAACGATCTTGCATTTGGGAAAGTGAGTGAAGAATGTAGAGAAACTCACGAACTTTCTTTCGATGATGATTTTTCACCGACGAGTAGTAATATTGCCAGTTTAAACAACCAAAGTCAAGAAAAGGAAACATGGCAAGCAGACGGTTACTTACAGTCTTTAGGTAAGCGTCATCAGTGTTCAGTACAGTCCCACCTGTTCATATCTACGTAGACTACTGTACTTTATTAAATTAACAATAACAGTGCCACCCTACCCAATCCTAATTAGGGTCTAGTCTAGATCTAAGTGCTCTTCAAAATACATATTTATGAATGATATCTGTAAATTATGCCCATGCTAATGATGATGTTTCAATAATCATATCAGCCATAATATTAATAACGATAATATAAAATGGAATTAAAGGCAAGAGTTTGTTATTTTCAAATTTCAGCAACAAAATAACGCAGAACATTAATCAAATACTTTTTAAAAAATACATAGCTGGGATTAGTTTGTCATTCGGAAATGTTGTAGACCCTGTTTGTAGATATTTAGTGTTTTTTCATGACTTTGAAATGAATGACATTAGTTGGTAAAAAATGTGAGCCGCCATTTTGGATTCCATTGTCATTATAGATGGCGACTCGCATGTTTTGCCTCTTCTCTTAGACTGATATTATTAATTTCAAAGTCATGAAAAGGCACTTCATATCAACAAACATGGTCTACAACAACTCCAAATGACAAAATAATCCCAGCTTTGCATGTTTATTTAGTATTTGAAAGCCTAAAACTTGACAAATTCGATTTTTTTTTTTTTTTTTTTTTGTTTTTTTTTTGTTTTTTTTGTTGTTGTTTTAAATATTTTTTTATTAATAATTTAATTCCCCCTTCCTAACATTTTTCAATTGTTGACATTTAACGGCATGAATATAGTTTTAAACATGAACTACAGCAACTACAAATGACAGATTTATCCAAGGTATGATCGAGTGATGAGTGCTCAAAATTAAAAGTAGAAATTAAACTATGTATAAATAAAAGATAACAGTAAACAAATCATTTAAAAGAATACATATTTTCATCAATTTTGGAAACGGCTCCTGGTCCTGGAAAACGGCTCCCAGTTCTCTAAAAAAATTAGGGACCGGGAGCCGCTTTTTCAGATATTTGGCTCCCGGTTTGCGTTGACTTAACAAAAGGCTTGTAGTCAATACACTCGTAACACACAGATGCACACAATCATGCCGATGCGGTTGATCGGCAGGTTTGACAGTAGACTCGCAATTTGAATTTTAAACTTATTCTTTCTAACATCGGAAAGTTGAACAAAATTGTATTGTACTGCTATTTAGGTGTCATCAATCGTCACTAAAGTACTGATTTTGAGTGAAATCAGTTGAGTTTTGTACAGTGGTGTTTGAAATGTTGAGAATCAATAGCACAGCTTTTATTTTAATACACAGCCAGGATAGTAATGCACCTATGTGTGGACTAAACTAAAGCACTAAAGAATATGGGGATATGATAAAAGTAACGTGTGTGTATACAGAAACAGTTAGTTGTTAAATCAACCAAATTTATTACAATGTATCATTGTTTAGTGTCACGATCATTTCATTTCAAAATCCATGGCTTTAGCCTTTAATCTAGAGTCTTAATCTTATCTACGGTATACTATGTGTCCTTTGATTGAATATAAATTCACGAGTCAATTTTGTTATTCTGCAGAGGGAAAGCTAGAAAGGCTTAAAGGGAAAACAAGCACAGGTCAAGCATCCAACAAGAAAATAACTTCCAGAGATATGCTCAGAACTCTCAATGAGGCCAGACACGATTCCGCCAGACATCTCATCTCCTCTGACTCTGCTCATGACTTCCATGATAGTGACTGTGATGCAAGCGGCGATCCTCAGGTAGCAGCCTTGACGAGAAGGATGTTCCCTGAACAAGCTTTATCAGCTGAAGAGCTGCAAGAGTTATTGAGGAGTAGTAGTAGTAGTAGTAGTATTTATTTTCGTATAAAAAACATAGTAAAAATGCATAAAATACGATGGATAGCCCACATTCAGCTAACCCGACATGGGAAAGCTGGTCTTCCGTGGGGTCCGGAACAATTACATAAACAAAACAAAACATAAATACATTATATGAACAACAGTAAATACATTTTGAAGAAAGAACGAAAAGAAGTAATATAAAATAAAGGGATTTAAAAAAAAAAAAAAAAAAAAAAAAAAAAAAAAAAAAAAAAAAAAAAAAAAAAAAAAAAAAAAAAAAAAAAAAAAAAAAAAAAAAAAAAAAAAAAAAAAAAAAAAAAAAAAAAAAAAAAAAAAACATTTCATAAAAAACAAGTAATCATAACAAAATAAGGAGGGGGACCATGTGCTACTGTAACAGTTCTGCAATCTTAGATTTGAATGTATTAACACTAGGGGAAGATTTGATATGAGGAGGAAGTGTGTTGTAGGCCTTTGTGTTTCTATACTTGAATGATCTTTTGAGGTAATTTGTTCTCGGTTTGGGTAATTTTATTTGAGCTCCAATTCGGGAAGGGTAGGAATGGGTTCTCCACTCAAATTCATTTCTTAAATACTCGGGGGTTAGATTATTCATTATTTTATACATAAGAACAAGGGAATGATGATTTCTTCTTTTGTCCAAGAGTTGCCAATTAAGAGCGTTATGCATTTCCAAAACAGAGACATGAGATTCAGGTTTTATTTTAAGTATAATCCGGCCTGCCCTATTTTGCAATTTTTGAAGGCGATCTGTATATTTCCTGAAAGCTGCACTGTAAATAACATCACCATAATCAAAATACGGAAGGATCAGTGAGCTATATATTAATTTCAGTACCGATTCACTTAGGAATCGCCTTAGTCTTCCTAGAAAGCCTACCATTTGACCAATTTTCTTCAACATATTGTCTATATGTAAATTCCAGTTTAACTTTTCATCAACTAAGACGCCAAGGTACTTGACATGATGAACTTGATCTATGGAGATGTCATTCAATGAAACTCGGAGGACATTCTTTTTAGATATCATGTGGTTGCTTCCAATGAGCATACAAACTGTTTTTTGACAGTTGACACTTAATTTGTTTTGGCACATCCAGTAATACATATTTTCTAGGTCTGAATTCAAAGCTAATTCAATTCTATCTATAGAAGGATGTGAGAAGTATAAAACAGTATCATCAGCATACAACTGAACTTGACAGGTTTTTATACATTTTACTAAATCATTTATATATACGATGAAGAGCAGTGGCCCTAGAAGGGAACCTTGGGGCACACCACACTCAATAACTGATTCGAAAGAAAGCTCTGCATTAATAAGTGTCCTACTGACTCTGTCTGACATGTAGCTTTTAAACCATGTACATGGAGTGCCAGAAATTCCTATGTTATTGAGTTTCTTAATAAGAATATCACAATTCACGGTATCGAAGGCCTTTCTTAAGTCCACAAATACAACCCCCGTATACTCTTTCTTATCAGTTGCGTGAAGCCAGTCATCAGTTACTTTTAGGAGAGTGGTAATAGTTGAGTGACGTGGCCTGAATCCAGATTGGGCGGCTGACAAGATATTGTTCTCATGTAGAAACTCCAAAACTTGTCTTTGGACAACCCGTTCCAGTATTTTAGATACGCAGGGCAAAATTGAGATGGGCCGATAATTTGAAGGAGAGCTCTTATCGCCACTTTTGTGAATTGGGATAATCTTGGACCTTTTCCATTGTTGAGGAAATTTACCGCTCAACAAAGAGCGGTTGATCAGGTTAGCAATACTCTGTGAAATCTCGGTAGCACATGCTTTTAAAACAAAAACTGATATTTTATCTACACCTACAGATTTAGTATTTTTCAATTTGTTTATAACTCCCAACACATCATTTTCGGTTACAAGGGTAAACTCAAAACTCTTGATTAATGGTATATTGTTTTCTATAGGGAGAGGCGTATCGGGAATTTCTTTTGCTAAATTACTTCCTACTTCAGCAAAGAAGGTATTGAAAAGATTAGCAGTATCAACATTACTTTCTGAATTAAGCGCAACTATTGGCGTGTCACGTTTCTTATTTGGAATGATAGATTTTAATGTCTTCCAAGTCTGTTTTGGATTAGCACTAGAAAGTGAGAATTTATCAGAGTAGTATTTTCTCTTTGCTTTTCTTACATCAGTAGTAACTTTATTACGTAGTACTCTATATTCACACATGAGTTTTTCATCTTTAAGTTTACACGCTCTCCGTTTCAGTTTGTCACGCTTTTTCATGAGTTTATAAATACTTGCATTCATCCACGGAGAGCCCCTAGTACTTATTCTTTTTGAACGATATGGCATGTGTTTGTCAACAACTTGTAACAACAGATTTTGCCATAATTCAACAGCTTCATCAATTGAATTGCACTGATTTATATACTCCCATTTCTGGTTGCGAATATCATTTCTAAACTCATTACCATTAAGTTTGCTGCAACTTCTAAAGTTAATAAATCTGGGGTGTGATGAAACATTGGCATTCCAAATTAAAAAACTAATAGAATGGTCACTCATTCCATTATGAAGTACTCCATAACTCTTTACGTTTGGGGAGTTATTCGTTAAGAGATGATCAATCAATGTAGCAGAAGCATTTGTAATTCTGGTTGCTTCATTTGTGTTAACTTGAACTAGAGAATACATATCATTGATATCCATATATTTCTTACTCATACTCGATAAAGGTTTGGCCAGTAGGTCACAGTTTACATCTCCTACTAAAATTGTGTCACAGTTCGTTATGTCAATAAAGCTAAGAAACAGCTCATATAAATTAAAGATTCCAACGTCTGAAGAGGGCGGTCTATACCAAGTTGATATGACAAGGGGTTTTGCAAGCTTAAGATACACCTTTATTACAATTGCTTCTAAATCATCTAAAGTTTCATGCGTTAGTTTCTCAAAATGTAGAGATTTGTGAAGATATATGGCGACCCCGCCTCCCTGTCTATTTCTGTCTTTCCGAACCAAGTTAAAATTGTCAATCATGACTTCATCATCATAAATAGATGCATCTATTTTGGTTTCATTTACAGCAAAAACCTGAATGTTATTTGATTTTACAAATGTCCTTACTTCTTCAATATGTTTGAGAAGACTATTAACATTTAATTGAGCAATCTTAAGACCATTATCTTGCAATTCATGGTAGTATAAACCCCTAGAGGTGTCCATTCTTGTGCTATTTGCTTTAACATGGACATTATTTTGAGGAGAGACTTCTTACAAGCAGTAACTCAAGAAGCTGCCGAGGAGCAAACCGATGAGGAGACTTCTGGAAGCAGATGATACCGAGACAATGATTTACCCCATTAAAAAGGAGAATCTAGTGATAGACTGGAGATAATACCTCAATCTACTTCTGTCCTAAGTGCATGAATAAATTGTTAAATGGAGTCGATGAACATTCTCAACTAAGGAGCATTTTTGTATCCATTACTGGCAGAAGCTACAAGATTAAACAAAAAGAGTGACTGCTCAATTCAGTGACATAGCATAGGCAATGCAAACAATGATTGGTGATTGATTGTGATGTTAGTCTCATACAGCGTATTACAACAGGACATGAGAACAAGAGCAAGTTATTAGATCAAGCATGTTTCCAGAAACACATGAGAAGCCATAGTCTTACAGTGCAAACTATGTTTTACAAGTAATACGTGTGTAAACAGAATCATGCACATACTTGTAATGTTTTTGCCCATTTTTGGGTGAATGTATTGAGGATGAAATATCTTCATGGTCAACACACTCTCCATAGATCTTCAAATTTCAATCACAACTACTGTAAAGGCATGTAAAACATTTTAAGAGCAATAATGGAGGCGTGATGGCTCAGTGGTAGAGCAGTTTGTTTCGTCAAGCCGGGAGGTCCTGGGTGCGACCCAAGTCAATATATCAGTGACCTCTAGTAAGGCATTATTCCTCATTACCAAGTCCCTTGAAGAGGATGTAAAGCTGTCGGTCCCCTGGTTGCTTCCTTACAAGCACATGCTTTCTTAACAGTCAGGTAAACAAAAAACAAAACACCAAACAATCGTATAATAGTATTTATAAAAGTCACAAAAGAATCATACTATGGCTTGTAGTTTAACAGGTGTCGAAATATATTTTGTGTGTGTTTGTTGTGGGCTTGATTCCCATGATGAGCCATGCTGAAAACGTTTTGTCACAAATAATTTATTATAGAAGGGAAGAGGGACCGATAGATACTCGTGAACATTTTGTCGGATTCCAAAAGGATTTGAAAAGTGATGAAGTCTGATATGCAGGGAGGTACATGTATCTTCCCCAGAACTACATTTTATAGATTAAGGATATACATGTATTTTAAACACAGAAATGATAAATATTTCTTGGTAATGTTTAATGTAATATGACTTCCATGATGAATCATTCCTGGTTATTTGTCACTGAATGGGTTAGTTCTGTATTCTACCTAAGACTCTGTATTACACTTCATATAGGATTTATCCCATTCACCCCATTCTCTCTTCACATTCTCTCTCTCTCTCTATCTCATTATGTCTCCCTCTCTTTTTCTTACTTTTTGTTTTACTTTCCTCCCAACATTCCATACCATGAATATAATACCATATGAAATGAGAAATAAATCATTGATATTTGATGGTTTCAATTTATTAGCAATAAAAATCTATATGATACACATTCAAAAATTCAATATGAAAATGTACAATGTCCTTATTTTGTCTTATCACTGTTCAGCATTGTATATTGCAACAAAACACTTTATTGCATAGGTGAAATTGTTTCTAGAACTTTAGAAGACAATGAAAGGCATTCTGTAAAACATGCAAATCATGTATCAAAAACTAAAAATCGGAATCCTATTTATCATCACAGTATCATCACAGTTGTATCTTGCGATGCTGTCATCTGTGTAGATAAACCCCACAAGTTAGATAAATAGATGATATGAATTGTTAGTCAAATTTAGTATTTTCCAAGAAATATTCTGTACTTTTTCTTGGATGTGTTAATCTTATGAAGTTATATAAGATATTATGAACTGATCATCAATTTAAAGAATTAAAATAAATCATTCATTGAAAGTGAAATAGCCAATGGACAGGTCCATATTTTGATGAAGAAAGATTTGTCTCAAATATTTCCAAACATATCTGATCGATGTATGATTTATGTCTTAAATATAACTTATTCCACATGTAAAAAACGCTTGTAATAGCACAAACTAAATGCTGATCCAATTATTGCAAACTCAAGCTCAAAGACACATTGCAGCCATTAGATAAGCACATAAGCAAGGAAAATTGCATCTAAAATTGACTATACATGAACATGTATTTTTGACCGTGTAAGTCAAAAGATATTTTTGTGGTTGCAACTTTCTCTCAATCAGATAGATTTATGGAGGATTTATGTTTATATACATACAATAAAAAGATGGTTCATCAAAACAAATGTTTCCTCAAATAATGAACAAATTAATCGAGAAACATAAAATAATCAAGAGATGCTGGAAATCCTCTGAAATGTTCTTTTTTTCTTCTTTTATTGCGATGCCTGCACCTCTGGCAACTCTACAAGGGAGGATCCATGATTGTCGTAGAGAAGGGGGAATTCCTGGTTAGATCATTTGGTGAATCCTGCTGGTAGGGGGAGGGGGGGGGGGGAGCTGTAGGAGGAAATAAAGTAACTTTCTTGGGAATATAATTTGGGGATCTCCCCAGGTGGAGGGGCTGATTTTGTTTACTCTAGAAACGTATTTACGGAAACGTTTGCAGTAGTTTTATCACTTCATAGATGTTTCAGCTATTTCTAATAGCACACGCCAAAACGTATAGTTACTGAAGTTGGTATCACCTCGCTTGTACAAAAATCTCTTTTTAACAAGTCCATCCCAAATCTGTTATCTTCACCCACAGTGCATCGTTGTTTCTTTCGATGAATTCAGTCACCATGCACATGAAAGTCATGAAAGTCTTGAGCATCTTCACATGGTATCTCTTCCATCCAAACCGACCATCTATCATCATCCTGTTATTTCTCTCGTTTCAAGATAATTAAGTCAAGTTCAACATGTTTTCTTTTTGAGGTTCCATTATGATCAAACACTGAAAGCGCTGGTGAAGAAAAGACCATGATTTCGACCCATTTTGGTGATGGTAGCTGGCATGGGTGACTGATATGTCTTCTCATATGAACCGGGACCAGGAACTTTCTGTGAATGAAATAAGAAACAACAAACAAATTAACGACCTCTTATTCCTTTTTTGAAACCTTGATTCGTTCTACAAGTAATATAAAGTGGAATGGTATCATATTTCAAGAGAAATTAACATGAACAAAAATTATCACAATCACAATTCTCAAATATAAATTTAAATTACGGTTTGTGGGGTGTAATGTTTGACTATAACCCGTCCAATTTGAAATATGTGGCATTTTGTTAAGTTTAATGCAATCTAGTTGAAAGTTTTCGGAACATTGCTTACCGTATGTGATGTGGCAAATCTTGGCGTTCGTGACTTGAAGCTAGATGAGATCTGATGTAGTGCCTGGGGTTCACGGTACTCGTATTGGCATGGAGGTGGGTTTTTCGTCTGAACACAGAAATTAAGAAAATTGATTGAATTACATAAGCATTTTCTTTTATTCGTGAAGTATAAATACATTGAAAGGACGATGAAAGGAAATGGAAATCTTGCCAGGAAAACTATAACCGCTTACATCAAAATTGCATCACTTTGGGAGTAAAAAAAATATCCAGTAAACAGCAGTAAGATTAAAGATGTCGGAATTACTTCAGACTTTGTATAAACTCATTATTAGTCATATTTTTAGGAAAAGATTTTTGATCTTGATTTTTTTATAATTTTGTAGAAATTAAGAGTATGATTTCGGTATGACCACAAACATCAAGATAGCTGTTTTCTCTATGTTTGTCTGATGTGATGTTATATCTGAAAGGCCCATCTTTCTCTACTCTCTCTGTTTTTCATTCCATCTCAATCAATAACGGACATTTCTGTTTGGAACCATAAGGGCGTTATAACTCATGGATAACTATTTAACAGAGTTCACGTCCTTCTGGCTCTGAACAGACATGGACGTTATGAACACAGCAGTAAAGGTACTACCAGTACTTGTATTGCAACTCAAGTCAGTCCTTTTCAAATTGTAATACTCACCCCTTTGAAATAGATAGTTGGAAATCGCTGTGCATTCGACTTGAAGACCATATGTCTGAGCGAAGTAAAAGTGGAAAACAGAATATTACTTTTCATCAATGCATTTGTTCTCTCTATATGCGTCGATCTGATCACCAATCGTTACTTTTATTATGTACATGCGTTCCGTGGAAATATTTTAAACACCATCTTTTCAGTCATATCAATAATCTATATTATGAATATGGTCCGATACAAATTATGACGTAATATTCAGATCATCCTTCCCTTCTTTAGCTACATTTTGTCTGATCATATTCTTCATATCGTTTCTTTGCTACCTTAATACGATCATCCTGATATATATATCTTAAAACTAACCTTTATATATCTTCATTATACCCTCATTATAACCCATGTCCAAATTTCGAGGAATTTCAATATTTTTCCACTATAAATATAGTTCTACTATATAGCTTTGTCTGAGAGGTAGCCTACATCACAACTTCAACAACATGGCACAATGCAATTTATACATTTTTTTTGCACTAGAGGACTATCTCCCGAAACACAATAAAAAGCGACTCACTTTGAAGGTGACTTCTCGACAGCACACGAAAGAACATTTTCCATTTTGTATGCGGTTGGACAAACGTTGACGTTCTGAAAGAATAAAATACAATGACAATGTACATCAATATGTCATTAACTGACAAGGACATAAGACTTGTCAACGATTGGTGAGTAAAAAGAAGTCAATTTTTACGAACAAGCACGGAACGCAATCTATACTAATCAATAGTGACATGGCTATTGAAATACAGTAACATCGAGTTATTCCAAAGATGGTGAAATAAAATTGAAAGAAACCATTTTAGACCAAAGGTTGCACGAAAACATGAAAGCGAAATATTATCTTGTTGTTGTTGTTCTCCTTCTTGTGAAAAGAAAGGGAAAAAAAAAACAAAGGTAACATGTTGCGAAGGAAAATTACCCTACACCGCCCCTAGCTGAGCGAGTCTTACAGATATCATATTGCGGGGGGGGGGGGGGGTCATTTCTGAGAGAACAAAATCCGGTCCTATATTCTCACGCAAGACTTGTCAAAACCCTTAATTTGCAAATAATATCTATTCATGATATCACATTTACATTTAATTTAATTTTATAATACCATGGATCAGTGCAGGCGTGCCTTTCGTTTTAAATTGATACGTGCACCAATACTTACGAGCAGGCAGGTGCTTTTGGTACGCATAATGAGGAAGCCTTTTTATCATTATTACTCTTGGGTTCCTAACTATGATATTGGGGAAATTCAAAGGGCCTTTAATAAATACAGCACAATATCCTGAAATTGTCTGCTAGGCCTATTAAACGTCCATTAATGTCATTGAGCGGTCATCTTTCAGTTTCCAGCTGGTTTTATTGTTTTTCTTTTGTCATTTCATAAAAAATAGTTAATGACGTCGAATGCAAAAGGAAACTGAATACTACTCGAATCTACCTACCCTCTTTTTATTCATATTTATTAAAGATTTTTGTCTCCTAACGGCTAAGATATTTTCCTACATGTTTATTGTTTTACCATTGTGCCAGAAACGACGGAGTAAAAAGAGGAAGAGAAGAGATAAAAGGGAGGTTTATGGAGCTAAAAACGACTGCTAGAGAAAGAGAGAAACAGAGAAAGAGAGAGTGAGAGACAGAGAGAGAGAGAGAGCGAGGGGGCCAGGTAGGGGAAGGGGGATATTCCGGATATATATATAGAGAGAGAGAGAAATGTTGTAATTTATACTTTATATTTGCAATAGAAAGAGGATCCAACAATGCTATTTAATTTTGCAAGGAAGTCCTTAAAAAAAATGTTGGCGTCTTTCTTTTCTTATCCCTATACAGTTATAAATAATAAAAAGTTATGTTTACCTTATCTTTGACAATGGGTAAATCTTTTGATCTCGATGTGTTCTTGAATGTGTACGTATGTCTTGTCCGTTCTAAGAAGTACATGTTGTCCTTTGCCTCGTACGCCCCCGGCAAGAGAGCTGCCCCTTTGCCCTGCTTTGCTGCATCTTTCTTGCGCCCCTCCCCTTTAAAGCAGTAGGTAGCTGGGCGGGTCTCGAAATCCTCCAGGAAAGGTTTGAAGTCGTAAGAACCTGGCATTGGGGTCTCCCGAATTTCTTTTCTCCACCATCCTTCGCGACCGCTCCTCGGTGTTTCGTAGTTTTCTGCCAGGGCTGATCGGTTCTAAATAATGGATAAAGAATAAGATGAAATAAACTTGTATAAGGGAAGCGTCGTGGAATGAATTTTGAACAAGTGGCGTAGCGCCAGATGTATACAGGGTCATAAATTATGTGTCACTCAAATTATTGTTATAAAATATTAGTCAAATAAAGAAGAAAGAGGCGAAGAGATAGAGTGGAGAGGAAGAAGAAAGAGAGAAACATAGAAAAAGAACACTTGAAAACCATAACATGCAGGACCCACAATATCTTAGTGACCCTCTCTCGCATTTCATCAATTAAGT